TCTTGAATATTCTACTCGTTTCTATTACCTCACGCTCTTCTATCTGTATAAAGCCATTGGAATATGTTTGATGTTTACTTATTTAAGTTCCATACCTGTGACAGGGCATATTGATTTGCCTGCTTCCATTCATGACCACCTCCAATCCCTCTTTGATACAACTGTTGAGGTGAGGGATCGATTTTGTGGCTGTCATTGCACAAGCCAGTGATTCTCAACACAGGCAAGGCAGTAACCTAGGGCAGCATTTTCAAACAGCCACAGGACTCGATGTACTTTACTTCACAATATAGCACACAAAAACCCTTATGCATGTAAACAAAAGTTCCACAAATATTTCTTATCTTTACTCATTGTGATATACAGTTCTCTATTTTCTCTTTATTAATGTTATTTGCTGTTTGGAGTTCACTAAATCAATTCTATTGCACATTCATGCCATGGTTATCAATCTTGGTTGCACATAGGAATCATCTAGAAAGCCTTAAAAATTTCCAATGTGCAGGTCTCACACTAGAGTAATTAAATCAGAGTTTCTAGGAGTAGGAGCCCACAAAGTTCCTCAGGTGAAGGCTTTCCTGAATCTTCTACGCTCCTTACCACTTCCTTCTTGGAGCCTCACCTCCGCAATCCAGACCTACTTTTATTATAGTAAGTAGCACCTGGTTTTGTATTTATTTACGTGTTTATCTTAGAACTTACAGTCTATCTCATTTATCATGGTGTCCCTAACATCTAGCACAAATTATCCCCTCAAAGATTTCTCGAGAGAATAAATATGAGCGTGAAGCAGAGAACAGGCCATGCCCTTCTGCTTCTTGAAGCCAGCTCTTTTGGCTTCCTGGTTCTTCATCTTTCTTCCGGGTTGTTGCCTTACTTTCTACTGCTCTTGTTTTGCATTTTATTCACTGGCCCTTCCTTGGCCCACTTCTGACACAGCAAGGTTGTCTCTGCTCTGCCCCAGCCTTCTCTGCACTCTGTACTGTCCCTGGTGATCTCACCTATGCATGTGACTTCCATTCTCCCATCCCTGAAGGCTTCCAAAACCACACCTTCAATTCCCTGCTCTCTACTGAGCTCCAGACTTATTTTCCAACTGTTTTCTGTAAAGCATCATGGTTGAGAGCTCGGCTCCAGTGCTGGAGGCTGCAGGAATGGGTTCAAGTCACAGCTCAGCCACTGTCTCTCAAATTACTTCTTTGTTTCTCTTCATTGGTGAATTCCACATGATGGCGTCCAAT